AAATGAGGAAGAAAAAGGGAACACAACCTTATATCCCACTCATAGTCTGTCAGCAATGGAAAAGAAAGATGGCATAAGGAAAGGGAGAAATTTTTATCGTATTTCTAGTAGCTCAAGATACTGCTAGATGTACTATCTGGGAATGTAAACTCACCAAGACGGATCAGTCATGACATTTCTCCCATCAAAGGAATATATTGGAACTTGAATGTTGAATTGTCCACCGTTTCCATTAAATATAGATTCCCAGTTATTGAAAAGTATTTCTCCCTGTTAAAATTCCAATTCTACTTTTACAAACAAAACAAATCCAAAATCCACACCACACCTGACTTTTATAGACTTACATCTTAAACCTTATCTGCATTTAAGAACACTTAGGATTCCAGTTTTCACATCAGTTTCTGCATGATGCTTCTGAACAAACTTCTCTCTATGCTAACAGCTCTCTGATGCACACCTTTGCCTCACAGATGCATTTCAATTCTGTTGGCACTCCAAATACTGAGCCTGATCATCTCCATTTTCAGTGTCCTTTTCCTTCTAATTGGTTACGGGATTGATTGAAAAATTGGTTCTAACTACTGTAGCTATAGAGAAAATTTTGTGCTGAAACTTCCATTGAGGTCACAATTTTGTGAAATGTTCAAGGCAAAAACTCTGCATCAGGCCACCTCTCAAACCACTTCTGAGTTTTTCCAGTCAAAGCTGAGACAATACTGTCTTTACAAATTTGTCTCCAAGGCTCTATGTTTGCATGCCTTTCAGAGTAGTGTCCATTCAACATGTTACAAGCATCACGTATTATTCCTGTAGGCTTCTTTGGCCATTTGTTCTGGGAGCCAGCCAATGCTACAGAGACATGTTTGTTTTCCTCAGTTTTAGAGTGTATCTGTTTCTGTGAGACCACAAAACGACTCATTCTCTACACTGTCCTTTCCGTTCCATTGGGGTAAATCCAGCATCACTCCTAAGCACAGGATTTCCTTTTTTTTCTCTTAGGAATGATCAAAATAGGCATTTTAGCCTACTATACATTGTGATCAAACTAGAATGAGGATGCGCTTTCCCTGCTGGTATAAAAATTACCCAGAAAGCCGAGCAGCATATTGTTGCTTTGTCAGCAGCCTGCTTGAAGCAGGCTACCCTCACAGCTTTGTTTCTACTGTTAGCCTGAGGATACTGAAAAAAGCAACCCCTGGAAATGCAGATAAAGTGTGAGGCATTCCATAACTTTCTACTTCATCACCACTTTTTTGTTTCTTGAACCTGACTGAAATATGAAGCAAAGCTGCTTCTTTATAAAATGTGGTTTGTGTTGAAACATTTTGCTTTTGCTATTTTCCAAAGTTTTAGGGCACCTACAGCCTGTCCTATACGTAACAAGTACTAAGCACTCATTTTTACCTTAAGGTTGACTATTGGTAAATGGTATCGATCTGTTTTTCTGACAACTGTGGCCAAGTCTTGCAAATGTGATGAGAGGAAAGCTCTATAGGTAGACGTCAAACCTGCTAGCTGGGCCTGTTGAAAACACTGAAAATCTGCTCGCATGTCACCAGAAAGTGGTGTGTTTAAAGCCACCAGATGCAGCTGCAGAAAAAAAAGAAGAAAATCCACCACTTTTTAAAACGTTTATAATATTAGGAGAACATACATTGGCAACAAACTAAACCGCTATTCCTCCTGCCAGCACAAAGAACTAGCACCTTCAATACCAGGTGGGAAAGTTACTTGCTAGCACGACACTACATTTCTTAAAGCTATAAGACACATATCAGAAATACCTATTTATCTTTCAGTACTAAGGAAAACATGATGATAATATACTCCTAAAAAATAAAATGCTTTTAAAAACAGCTAATATTTTTAAAGCAGAAGCCCTGGAGTTATCACACAAAATCCAAAATCCTACAAGCATGGAAATAAGTAGTAAGAAGTGACCATATACCATTTAAAATTTCACTGTTATGAAATACAAGAAGTAGTATGCTTAAGCCAAACAGTACAGATGCCAGAAATAATCCACATTTTTTTTTTTTCAGGTTTGGTTTTTTTTTTTAAACATAACTCTGTTACCTTGCTTTCATTGTCAAAGTCTTTTAAGATATTTTAAATGAAGGCTTAGATTCTAAAATGTCTATCTAAACAAGCAGCACCATGAAGATTTGATAGTACCATTATTGTTAACTTAAAATATACTGTGTGTTGTAGATAGAGTCACTAAGTGAAGAGGTATTTCTAACTCAGAATCACAACTTTTGTGTTTTTATTTGAGATGGGAAAGGGGCTAGCACGATGACAATAGATCTGGAGGAAACAATTTAAAATTGTCTCTGAGATGTTTAAACCATTTAAAGGGGTGTATTTTTAAATTTCTAAAGTAATATCTGTGGATTTGAAGAGGAAATACCACTAATCTCCCTCAGGATGCAAGTTGTCATGCTTCAGACCACACTGATGCAGTTGCAATATGGATCACATACTTACTGCTGGCTTTCCAGTGTTCATATTTGGTACTGGACTCAGTGCTGGAAGAGACTGAAAGCCCTGTTATTTTAACACAGGCAAAGAGATATGTTAAACATGTTACCCAGAATTTTAGACACTCAATTTTCTAAATAGAGCAAACATTGAACACTTGAGAATCTGAAACTGTCTTGCTTCTGAAAAATAATAACAAGCTGTGTAGTCAGAATGCTTTTTCTGCATGCTATCAGTTTGGTGTGTGACACAAATATGTGTTTGAAAGCTTTCCTAGCCAGAGTTGCTTTGCTAGACCTGGGTGTCCCCATTCCAGCTCTGCTGGAGCTGGTGTCAGCACTGGATTGCACCTGGGGTCCTGTGTGAAAGCAGCCAGCTCTTGGCAGGAGCAGAAGGCCGGTTCAGGAAGATTAAAACTGAAAGTGTAAGGAGGATGTGGAAACAGAAAATGTAGTGGGTGGGAAAATTTCTCAAGGCCTCAGTAATTCTCTTAATCAATTGGCATGTAGAGACCAGAAGGCTGGTAACCTTCACAGCTGTTTCAGGAACAACACATTTTTTTTAGTGGTGGTAAATATGAGTAACAAGCTGCTGACTGTACTGGTTGGGAAAGTCGTGCGTCAGCTGGAAGCTGCAGACAATTTCTTATGACATGAGGTCTAGACATTTTCACAGTGTGCTAAGCACACTTCTCTCTGACCTACACTAACTTTTTTTATTTCTTTCTTGCCACCTTCCTTCTCACTGCTCCTTCCTAGCACTGGCTTGCCCTCTCATTATCTCAGCAGTCAGAGCAATTAACCTATCATCAATGAGATTGTTTTCTGTTCCCTTCAACCCTTCTTGGTTTTCTTCCTCCTGTGATTTTTTGGGACAGAGTATGTTCACATGTAGGTTGGTACAATAACTCGCAGAATGAGGTCAAGTACAGACTAACAACTGAGTCTTTAGAACAGACCCTCAGCACACTGTGGTGTAAGCTACATGCAGGTGATGATTATGTACCCTGAATAAAGGACTATAATATTTTAAAGAAAACCTTTTCAGAATCGCTTTTCTGAGTTTCCTTGTAAGGGACCAAGGCTTGATATGACTGAATTTAGTGTTATGAAACAGAATCCTGTTTGGTTGTTTTTTGGTTTGTATGGTTTTTTTTTTTTTTTTTTTTTTTTTTTTGTTTTTTTTTTTTTTGTAAGCAGCCTGATTTTTGTAGATGCTGCTTTGTTTCTGTAATGTTTGGAGTCTCAGAATATAATGGAAACAGATGACTGGCCAGTGTGAACCAAGCTTATGTAATGGTAGGATGCTTATTTTGTACTGACAAGTCTCAGTGGAAAATCATGTTGTGCAGGGATCTGCCTGCAACTTCTGCCAAATGTTTCGCCTGTTCTTGCACATTCATACTCATTTTTTCACAGTCCAATATTTTGTACTTACATGGCTCGATATGGCTGGAGGAGGAAGGCTGTCAGCAGGGATAGGAATTAGCTCACCAAGCTGAAAGAACCCAAAAGGAAAAGGAAACAAAAGCATATCACCAGGACCTTCTGAACTAAAAAAAGGAATCTTTGCACCCATAATTCTCTACCCTTGTGAAAAATACCTGCAACAACTCCATTTTGAATAAGGGAGCTGGAAATGATTAGGATGTAGTGCTACAGTACCTGTAATTTTCTCCATCCACTTCGAACACGAATGAAAACCTCACTGGTTTCACTCAGATAGATAAGCGTGCCTTCTGCTACTAAATGAACTTTTTCCAGCATACCCTCAATGTTTTGGAATGTTGTAACCTGTCAAGTAGGAAAATGAAACATGCTTCATCAGACAAAATATTTTGCGAGTCAAATTGTTAAACTGAAGTCTCATCTGAACACATAAATGTCAAGGCAAGACATTTCCATGGAAAATGCTCTTAAGGTCAGTTTTACATCATTTCATGCAAAAAGCTTCATTATCATAAATATCTTGCTCTTTTGGCATACCAGCATCATCATTCCATGTATTGTAGTAGAACTACACCAACAGTTAATTTTGCACAGAATGAGGATCGTTGCATGCCTAGAGTTTAGCATTCTAGATCAAAGTGGCAGAGTTCAGAAGAGATTTCTTAAGGCTTACAAATATCACACAAAAGTCTAGATACATGTGCTTCTGTTACATTTTCCTTTGTGTTCTTGTGATCTCTTCTCTGTAAGGCTGTTTTCTTCCACCCCTTGCATTATGTTTCCAGATGCCACTAGTTTACACAGCAAATGTTTTTTCAATTTCTTTCATGTAGGTCACCAGGAAGCTTGAACTGATGTCTGTCAGATATGGACACTGCACCTATTAACTCTGTCTCTGTCACCTGAAGATAAGAATGCAGTCTTCTCTACGACAGGTTGCTTCTACAGTCTGATACTTGCAGTTAGTGTAAAATCAGGTGCAAGTTTCATTTCTTCACACGAGTGTTGCTCCTTTCTAATTTCTTCAGTGTCAGAAGGTATATTAATGCTTTAAGAATCATGAAGACCCTGCTGTAGATTTGCATATTGTTTTTTAATGTTGATTTTGACCTAGAGTGGACTTGGATCTCCTATCTAAGACAGTAGCTCCCAGCTGGTATCTCAGTCCTCTGCCTTGGGGCACCAGTCTCTAAACATCTGTTTCTCCCCTGATCTGTAATCAATGTCAGGCCCTGAATTTCTATGAGAACAGGCTGTTAGCAGAGGTGTGGCACTGTGGTGGGAAGGCATTAAGAAACTTATGCGCAGATCCTTGTTAGTTAATTTGATATGACGTAGGTGATCTGAAAGTCTGCTTTTTTATTAGCACATTCTCAAATGATTGCCAAGATATCCAGGAATTTGTTTTCCTTTTTTTTTTAATTTTTTTTAATGTGAGGATGTGGATAAAGAAAAAATTGCAATGCATCCCCTGGGCGAGTTTTTTTTTTTTTTAGAAATGATGAATATTTAATTTAGAAATTAAGAAGACAGAAGTCTTAGCTGTCATTTTTACTGCATGGATATCTGGGATACAATTCTGGTTTGATTCATAGAATCCTATAATCATTTTGGTTGGAAGAGACCTTCAAGTTCATCAAGTCCAACCAGTAACCCAGCACTGCCAAGTCACCACTAAACCATGTCCCTAAGCACCACATCTATGATTCATGCAGTAAGAAAAGGAACAATTATATTTCTATGTATTCTCTGGTACACCAATTTTTAGATTTACTAGGGAAATCTACAGTTTTCTTCTTAGATGCAAATTACTTGTATTACAAGGTTTTAATCCAGTAATGTTAAGTTTTTTATTTCATGGAAACTTGGCATTCAGTGGTTATTCTAGTATCTTGGCATGTTAAGTTGCCACCCTCTTTCAGAGACATTGCTTTGAACATGGAATATGCACCTTTCAGTCACTTCAGCGTGCCATCCATCTTTTTTGTTTCAACAGGCTGTTGCTAAAAAGGCAATGGACAGACTTCTCTCATCACTTTCCCCAGCTATATGGATTCCCTGCTGAAAATTTATCAGTTTCAGAAAATCGGAAAATATTTTAATAAATAAAAACACAGTTCAGAGCTTTCACCGCTTTTTCAGTGCTACCAATGACTACAAAAAGATTTGAAGCAGGGTTTCAATGGCAAACTTCCTTATTTTGCCATCTTACCAGATTCCTGGTTGCAGGTGACCCTGGCTCTCCAGGAGGACCTGGTGGCCCAGGCATTGCGGCTGCTAAAATAAAACAAGCATACATTACATGTTGAAGGTCATCTTTTTTGAGAAGAAAGGTGAGTGACATAAAGAAAGGACTGGTGGTGTCTAAGAGTAGTGGGAGCTTTAAATAGCCATAGGTCTCACATTGTCAAGTTCTAGAATAGCTTTGTTCAAGTTAACTGTAGAAAATGCATTCTAAAGGTTTTTTGTTGTTGTTGTTTTTTTTTTTTTTTTTTTAAGAAATACTGAAACAGTCTTTTCTCTATTATTTTGGAGGTTAAGGTCAACAGATTGCAACCTTGTAAATACTTTGCAAATAAAGAATCAGATGCACTTTTTTTTAAAGGAATGCTCACCTGCTGGCTGTTAATAATGTGCATATGGAAAAAAAGA